GTTCACCCATTCCCTCAAGGTGATTTGTAGCCATGCTGGTTGCGTCTGTGGGGATATCGAGGATACGGTCAAGCTCTTCTTCAGAGTCGAACTCCACAAATTCAGGCCTTACGTCAAGTTTAGGGTCTGCTTTGGCAGGAGAAGGACTGTCGCTGTGTTTGCGCACATCAGCCAATCTGCCCACAATCGCCGCCGCCGCCGCCATGACAGGAGACACAAGATGCGTGCGGCCAAGAGCGCCTTGTCGACCTTCAAAGTTGCGATTTGAGGTGCTAGCACAGCGTTCTCTGGGTGACAGGATATCAGGGTTCATGCCCAGGCACATTGAACAGCCAGCTTCCCGCCATTCGAAGCCTGCATCTAGGAAGATCTTGTCCAGGCCTTCGCTCTCAGCTTGAGCCTTGATGTTACCAGAACCTGGCACGACCATGGCCCGCTTAATATTGGGAGCGACTTTCTTACCCTTGACGATCTTGGCGGCGGCACGAATATCCTCAATGCGGGAATTTGTGCATGAGCCGATGAAGACCTTGTCCACCTCGATGTCTTCCATCTTGGTACCTGGGGTGAGTCCCATATATTCAAGGGCTCGCTTGCAGCTGGCTTTCTTGTTAGGGTCCTCAAAGTCGTCGGGGCTGGGGACAACACCCGTAATGGGCACGACATCCTGCGGCGACGTTCCCCACGAGACTGTTGGAGCGATATCCTTTGCGTCGATGAAGACCTCGATGTCGTATTTGGCACCTTCATCCGATCTTAAGCTGGCCCAGTAGTTGGTCGCTTTTTTCCACTCATTGCTGTCGACCTTTGGAGCCAGAGGGCGGCCCTTGAGGTACTCGAAGGTAGTTTGATCTGGGGCGATCATGCCAGCTCTGGCTCCGCCTTCGATAGACATGTTGCAGATGGACATGCGAGCCTCCATGCTGAGACTTCGGATTGCAGAGCCGCAAAATTCAATGACGGCGCCTGTACCGCCGGCGGTGCCGATTACACCGATCACATGCAGAATTATGTCTTTGCTGCTAACCCCGGGTGCCAACTGGCCGTCGACCTGTATCCGCATGTTCTTGCTCTTCTTTGTGATCAAGCATTGTGTGGCCAGAACATGTTCGACTTCACTAGTGCCGATGCCAAAGGCTAGGGCGCCGAACGCGCCATGAGTAGATGTGTGGCTGTCACCGCACACGACTGTTGTGCCCGGCAAAGTGAAGCCCTGTTCGGGACCGATGATGTGCACGATGCCTTGATTCTTGTCTCCCAGGCCGAAATACGTGAGGCCGAACTCTTTAACATTGTCTTCGAGGGTGGTGCATTGTAATCTGCTGTCCTCTTCCTGGACAAAGTCTGCCACATTCTTGAAATTCTTGCGTGATGTCGTGGGGACATTATGGTCGGTGGTAGCAAGCGTGCAGTCTGGCCGGCGGACTTTCCGCTTGGCGTTTTTCAGGCCTTCAAATGCTTGTGGGGAGGTGACCTCGTGGACAAGGTGTCTGTCTGTTAGAAAGGTTAATGCTTTCTGAGCCCGGCTGTTTCGTGGGTTAAGGGCGCAGCGTACCGATATAGAGGAGGACTGTGCCGTCTCGCTCTTCGTTGACGATATGGTCTTGGAAGACTTTGTCATACAAAGTCCTAGGGCTTGACTCGATAGAAGGCATCTTGATAGACACAGCAGTGATCACCACCAGGAGCGAAATAGGAGATTCAAGTATAGAGTAGAATATGCAGATTTGAATCTTCGAATAGCAGGGCACCAGATATAAGCAAAAAAGGGCTGGAGAGACAGTGGATGGCGGGGAAGAATGAAGAGGCCCGACATCGGAGGAGAGTGATGACTTCACACGCTCCTTGATTGGTCCGCAGATGATAGGGTCTGCCCCAGCCAGCCAGCCTTGTCATCCAGACTCAGCCTTGTTGCCGTTACTCTCCACACCTTCCCAACGCATGATCAGTAATTATGCGGACAATGCCTCCTATGAAGTCGAAAGAAGATGATTCGTGGTCTCTGCCAGTAAGCTTTGGCAGGGATGCTAAGACAAAACGGACAAGTGCCACTTGCCCCATCTAGATTTTCCGGGATGACATCGAGAACAGCTCGGCCACTCTAGTCTCCGCAATAGCAATGGCGGTTTGGTACAATATTCGCTTCAAGAAGGACGAGATGGCTATTTGAGGAGGACGACAAGCGCAGAAGAGCCCCCGTGGTCCTTACAGCAGATGTACTGAGGCTTGTTTTAGCATGGGCGAGGCTGTGAGACTATCAACTCATCAACAACGGCAGGGAAGTTCAGCCTCGCCGAAGTATCTTGTATGGACTCGGGATCCTCTCTGCTGACAACTCCGCAAATCTCATACTACAGGTGGAAGACTCACAAACACAAAAAGGCAGCAAGCGAACCACGTTCAAAATCGAACTCGTGTCTGTTCAGCTCTAGGAGCCAAAGGTTCAACAAGGTCGCGCAGTTCCATTTAACCTTCACTCCCAGTTCCTTTACAGCTGTCGCAGTTGCTATGCATTCAGAACCTCGCAAGACCTACTAGGAACCTGTGAGGCATAGCAAGACTCCTTACAGCATGCACATGTCAGAAAGGCCCCGCTCACTGACCCTATTAGAGCTTTTCTCATTCAGTCCCATAACCCACAACTCCAAGTCGAAGGGGTCTCATTGCTGGCTCAAACTTCTTTCAGATGGGGCTAGATTGACAAATACAATGTGATATTGCCATACTTACCGGAGCAGTGGGGCAGCTGTGATGTTGTCATATTGTGATATTGTGATATAGCTTGGCGAGCGCTGATATGTAGTATCCAGCACCTACAGACTGGCGGGTGAGTCGAGGTGCAAAGGGATTCTTGCCCTGGAAACCGAAGAGAAACAATGCATTCTCATTACACAACACCATTCATCCAGAAACAGTCCCTTTCATTCTTTGCACAATGGTTTTCTCCTTTCGTTTCGTTCCCTGCAACTGGCCAAACAGCTCGAACAAAGCAAGCGACTCTCGGTCCAATAAGGACTGCAGCGTTGAATCGAAGCTCATCTGTCGCTGAGCGTTGCCCCCACCGCATCCCTCCAGAATCTCGGCTGCGTATCTCGCTAACGACGCCACCTTCGTAACCGCCGAGCTCTGGAACGGGCTGGGAAACGTGGTCACCAAAAGTGAGCATATGACAAGCGGCAGGCAGGTTGAACAAAATACCTAATTTCAATCAAGCTGCTACAAGCCATTCCCTTCCTTTACTCATGACTTTCGGCGAAGGACCAGACAACTCTGCTGCAGACCGTTAGCCGACCTGTATGCCCTTAACCGGATGCCTAGATTTGGGCTTTCTGAGCTGAGAAGAGCCCATACATTCCTCAAGTCGACATCATCTTCCCCTAACCATGTCCTTTTGCTGACTCCATCCACACAACGAGCGCCTTCGAGGCCGGCTCTCAGCATTGGGGGCGCGCATCTGGCGCCTCAAACACAATACTGTGTAAGCATCCGCTATTTTTCAACTTCTACATCACTCAATTACAGGAATGCAGCCAGAAGATCAGGAGAGGCGGCCATGGTCAGCAATGATGCCCCCGCCAGAGGCACGCCTCCACCACTGGGTAGAATCGGAATAGTCTTCACCGATATCGTCAAATCGACAAACATCTGGGAGAAAGACACAAACGCCATGATCAAGGCTATGAAACTGCACGACGACATGATCAGAGGCCTCACTGTCGCGAACGAAGGCTACGAGGTCAAGCAAAATGGCGATGGCTTCATGATTGCCTTCCCTACCGCCACCTCGGCGGTACAGTTCTGCCTCGACGTACAGGAAAAACTCCTGGACGAGCACTGGCCGAAAGAAATCCTGAAGCTGCCGCCTAGCCAAGGGACCAAGGACTCTGGAGGTCATGTCCTCTTCAGGGGCTTGCAATTGAGGATGAGTGCGCACTGGGGAGAGCCCGTGAGCAAATGGAACGAAGTGATCCAACGCATGGACTACCTAGGGCCAGTGGTCAACCGCGCCGCCCGATTCATTCAAGTCACAGAGGGCGGCCAGATCGTGTTATCCGAAGAATTCCTTCTTCAACTGCAGAGCGAGATGGAAATGGCCAGGCGGCAGACAGAGACACAGGAAGAGACCTATACCGCTGACAGAGGGACCGACGGTGGTCCCTCCCACGATACAAACGTGCCGGCAGCGACTTCTCTGGACCTTCGCAGCCTGCATTCTCGGCGAGAACAGAAGAAGCTCACGCACCAGCAATTCGAGATCCGGCCGCTGGGAGACTACGAGTTTCAGGGACTAGATGACCCGCACAAACTGTACTTCATTGTACCCTGCTCGCTTGAAGGGCGCGTAGATCACTGGCATCAAGTCGCCCATGTGACGGGGGTGAAGGGCAACATTCGCTCATCATAAGACTTCGATAATAACCGCCGATAGGGAGGGAACTACTTCCCTACAGCTCTGAAAGAAAAGGAGGGAGAAGGATCACCATGTTCATATACCCCTAAGCAAGAGCAAGATAGTTGACTCAACCAGTCAAAGGTGATATATCTACTGTTGATGAAGTTGTTGAGGAGACAATACCACGACGGAAATGCTGTTGTCCAAGGAGTTCCGAGCGGCCCAGCTTGTGCAAAGAGAGCGATGACCGGGGGGAGACAACATGAGTTTGCTTTTGGGTTCGTTTCACGGCGTACAAAAATGACACAAAGCAAGGCATACGATGACAATTCACTTAGTAACCACGGCGCAGTGCATTGGATTGCAATGAAAGTGACAGACACCCCATGTGGACAAAGATCGTGGCATCAACACCCGGGAATTGAAGTCAATAAGTCCACAAAGCTGCGGTGAGCTCTCAAGACGGCCCTGATGGATGGGGGCCACGGTTCGGTCCAACCCATTCCCTGTTCCAGCCCGATCCAGCCTGGTTTATATCACCGCACAGTCCAGGTATTTTATCTATGTCAGAAGGCCTCAGAACTCCATCACAGGTGTGCCCGGTGATTCAAGCCGCAGGCTCAACCTCGTCGTTTCCATCCGCCTTGACCGCTCCATTCGTTTCTGGTGCCTCGCCATCAGGCTTATTTTCGGCACCGCCGTTCACGTCAAGGAGGTCTTTGCCCTGTGGTGGTGGTGCAGCAGCAGTAGCGCCTTTGCTACTTTCAATTTCCTCCTCCAACTTGACGTATTCTTCCCATTCGGGAAACAACTCTTCATCCTGGCCCTTGCCCGGGACGCCCAGCAACCTCGCAACCTTGCCTTTCCCTTGCTTCTCGAGCCCCTCTTTCCACTCCACCGCTAACCCGGGTGTCAAACTCGGCTTATACGTCTGGCTGAACAGGACCGCCTCGCTGATCCTTCCTGTTCGTTTCAGAAGGTCAATGCAACTTGCCACATCACCTGTGGACCACAGGGCGGCGAATGCGACATTGTTGGCACCCGATTCTTCTGCTTGCTCTGCCAGTTTGAGAAGCCCCTCCTTGTTGCCCGAGCTAGTGTATAAGAGAAGAAGAGAACCGAGGTCTTTCGCATGACTGAAACATTCCTCCGCAAGTCTGACGTCCCATGCTTCGAGAGCTTTGTCGGCCACAGCGGCCCACCGCGCTTGTGTATCTGATTCCCTCGTGATCTCCAACGCAATCGCGAGATTGTTCAATCCCAACGCTAATTCGAAGCGGTGTTCAGGGTCGGTGGCGACTTCCAGTGCGAGGTCCTTGTGGCCTTGGGCTTCAAGGAAGCGTGCAATCTTGTTCATTTGATCCTGGGGGATATCTGGAAGGAGTTCCTGTGCGGCCTCGAGTTCACCTCGCAAGACAAGGGTTTGGTAGGATAGGAGGGCGGTAGAAAGTCTGTAAGAGACGACGTTGACATCCTTATCACAAAGGTAGACGCGTTCGTCCCGTTGCAGATATCGCAATAGATACATCGGTTGGTCGAATTGGGCGATATTCACGACTTGTTCGCCTAGAAGGTAGCTGAGACGGGTGTTAGTGGTGAATATGAAAGCATCGCCGACCCATTCGCCAGATTTCACAGGTTCTTGTAAATCAGTGACGACAGAGAAGGCGGCCTCAACACCGTCTTCGTCTGCTTGGCCCGAATTGAGGCCGTCAAGGTAGGCTTCACGGTCGAAGCGGAGGACGTAGGTGGTGTCGGAGCAGGCAAGGGCCACTAGTTCGCCGGACTCGCTCCAGTAGACCTGGCCCAAACGTTTCAGTCACAGCCGCTCCGAACAATTGGATAGAAGGGGCCATTGTTACCTCTCTGGGTTCGACTTCAATTCTTCGGACGAGAGTGCCAGTCTCCCAGTCAAACATGCCGATCCCTCCTTGTCCCTTGACGCCAAGAAGAGTACCGCCGCAGAGACCCTCTGCCTGAAAGCCAACATCGAGACTTCCGCTTTCTTTTAGTTTCTTAAAAATTTTAACGCTCGTGCTAGATTCTCGGATTGCGTAGTCGGTTGGATTCTGATGTGATGCCCTTCAGCCAGTGTTAGCGGATCATGATATCCCAAGGCTTGGGGCTCGGTATACCATGCAAAATCAAGTGCAGAGCCAAAGGCTTGATTTCTCCATGCCAAAGCGGTGTACTAGGCGGTATTAGCAAGAGATGTCGCTGAAGAGAAGCATCAGACTACTTACAATGATGAACTCCCCGTCACCGCAGACACTGACAAAGCGGCCATTCGGTGAGTGAGATAGTGTGGTGGGATAGCTGCATCTCATGTCAGCTGTATTACCACCCTGATTGAGAACGCTGCTCACATTTCAGTGGTGCCCATTTCTTTGCTTGGAATGGCAATAGGTGCGCCGTCCTTGACTGTTGCATCTCCTCCCTTGATGATAGCAGACACTACCTCGTTGTGACGTGCCCAGACGAGTTTTCCAGTTCCGTCCATGGAAACAGCTGGTTCCTCCCTACCCATCTTCACAACAACGGCACCATCGTCAAAGCCCATGGCAACACCTTGTTTTCCTCTCTGGTACGAAACACACCATGCTCTCTCCAAACCATAGCTCAGCGACTGTTCTAACCGGTACGTATTAGCATGCCATATCTTGATGGTTCCGTCTTCGGAACCAGATATGATGACGGGTAATTCAGGGTGATAACAAGCGAAGCTGACATTGCTGGTGTGTCCTTCAAGCGTTGCAATGAGGGCTTTGGTGGTGTAGTCCCATACTTTGACCGTCTTATCGTCCGAGGTACTGAGGAGGTAAGGCTTGTCGCTGTGTGGATAGTAGTCGACATGATTCACACCCTTTTCGTGTGCCTCAATGGTCTGTTTAGCGGTGGCATTGTCGATGCTCCAAATCTTGATTGTTCGATCTAAGCATGCTGACGCAAAGACGTTGGTATCTTTGGGGTTGATTGCGAGTCCCATGACATAGTGTTGATGTCCTACAAACTCGCGCACACACCGCCAGTCCTTTTCCCAGTCAAACATGCGGATTGTCATGTCATCTGAGGCTGTCAGGACCACGCTGAGGACGGGATGCACGACAATTGCGCGGATATAGTCTGGGTGTCTGCAACCGTCGTTGTAAGCCCACCTATTCGATTGCTTGGAATGTCTCAAGCCGCTTACGCCTCAAATGATTTGACCTTCTCACTTGTATTCCAGTTGACCACTCTGAGTTGGAAATCATCGCTGCCACACACTATCCAGTTCTTTCTCTCAATGAACCTGCCCGCCCTCACAGGTACATCGGTGAGCTCGAACGTTTTGATGATGGATTGGGTTTCGTAGGACCAAATGTGGGCATGGCCATTGTATAAGGTGGTGAGGATCTTGAACTGTCAGTGCAGGGAGCGGGCAAAGAGGGAATAACGGAAGTAATACCCATGGTTCGGTACTGTGCAACTGTCAGAATTCCGCCTGTTATAAGAGTCGGGTACTTGCCTGTGAAAATCGATGCCCTTTACTCGCTCCGAGCCTTGACTGGGTCAGTCTTGATACATATCACTTGTTGGGAAAGACGAACGAGCAAAGAGTTGTCTCTTGACGTCCAGGCGCATTGCGGCATCAAACAGTCAAGAAAATATCAAGAGGTTTGGGCGACGCACACAAGGGTGCTGGCTAGGACGATTGGGGTACAGTCAGAAATCGAACCGGACCAGAAAGAGACCGAGCACAAAATTCCATATCATCAGTTCATGACCGTCGTGAGCGCCGAGGTTCAGTTCCTTGAAAGGAGTCGTACAATTAGCAAGGGAACGTGGTCTCGTAAGTTTTGCGGTATTGACAGAATGTCCCCAAATTCACGCTTTAGGTGCATACATCGAAAGTTTGTGGACATCATGCCGCTTTAAACCCAATCTGCCCGCTCCGCCAAAGAAGTACCAGAGTACGACCTGTTGCTCTGTACGGCCTGATATCTTTCTTGTCTGTTCCAATTATCCTCGTTGAGCCGATTGTTTCATTGACTCCTGAGATATTCTGTTCTTCTTCCTTCACCACTTCGAGATGGCTTGATGGAGCGAAGACTTGACATCCTTAAGATCTGCAAACAGCCGTAACTGCCTCCTGCGGGATCAGCGGCCTTCTCACACCTTCCTGACGCACAGGCAGAGCAACCCCATATTCATGCTATGTAGAGGTACGGAGTACATGACTGATAGGAGATGTTTCTTCCAGGCCGTCGGTAACCCCACACATCCCACGGCACCTGCACAGCGAATGCGGAGTGAAGGAAATGTTCACCAGGAATACACAGCTTCTGAGCCCCAGAGAGCCCTCCACTCCAAGAACCGTATTTAAAAGCTTTATGTCTCCATGACACACAATAAAAGCTCTGTTCTGCTCCGTATCTAGGTAAGAATCCGAGCTATGTGAGACACACATAGCTCGGATTCTTACCTAGATACGGTTGGTCTTCTGCACCCGGTTATACTTCTGCAAACCGAGGCAGCTGCCCATATGTGCTTTTAAGACAACGTCCCTGGAATACTACTTGTTACTTGGTAGGTATCCAGTAAACACTCACATCCATTTACTCCGTTCGTCGTCACCTGTCCGCCGCTGTTTTCTGTCGTCTGTGTAACCATGGCAGGACTGCGCCCAACACTTCATCATCTGAATGTTAGGTCCCCTGACTTGTTCTTCCCTGCACTGCTCATAGGTCGCAGAACTCGCAATCGCAAAGAATCCTATGGCTGCTCGAAGAGCTGGAAATCCCATACGACCTTAAGCTTCATCAACGCGTCAAGCAGAGAGCTCCTCCCGAGATGAAAGAAACACATGCGCTGGGAAAGGCCCCACAATTGGAGACGGGCGATGGGAGAGTTATTGTGGAATCGCTGGTGATTGCAAAATACCTGATTGATACATACGACAAGACGGGCAAGTTCAAGGGCGACGGCAACAAGAATGACTGGATACGCGACGACGAATTGTGCAATCTTGCTTCTGCCAGCCTCGGGCCTCCAATGGTCGTGGAAGTCATCATGACCGCGGCGGTCAAGTTGACCCCCTTTTTCGTCCGTCCATTGATATCGCTAGTCCACAAGCAACTTCGCGGGGGCTACTCTGGGCCGGAGCTGGACCTGTATTTCAAGTATCTGGACGCTCAACTGGAAAACCAGGACTATTTCATGGGCGGCAGCCCCGGACGAGCAGACTTCATCCTCTCATTTCCGGTCGACACGTGCACAGGAGCTGGCTTCATCGACCTCAAGAAATACCCCAAGGTGGAGGCATGGCACGCTCGGTGTCGCGAACGACCCGCGTGGAAGAGGAGTTTGGAGAAAGGGAACGGGTATGACATGACCTTCAAGTTCTGATCGGAGGGCGAAGCGAAGGTAGGCCAACCCATCGGGCAGAAAACTTTGGACAAGTGGGTGAGGCATTCTACGTCGAGACGGCGAGACGGCGAGACGGGTATGTCTCCGGAAGGCGAACGGGAGGATGAAAAACGGGAGTTGCATTGCCGCTCAACCTTCGTCAGTACGAGTAGCATTACCCGTCGTATTTGAACCCCTGGGATTGCACAACGTTCGGTTCATAAAATTTCTCCAAGAGTGTGAGCCTTGAACAAGGGACGCCTCAAGAGCAAGGAAGCCCTATTGCGAATACGCGAGTGGAGCCTCTTCATCCTGATAATGGTATGTACTATCTACCTAGGACGGCCAAAGTTGAGCCAGGCGAATCCGAGCCCCAATGCCCGTGAAACCCGGAACAATCGTCATCCGGGGCGTATACCTTGCCTAATACCGCCTAGAAACCGCCCATGAGCAGTACCCTCGACTCGTACTTTTTTACCCGTTACTCCATAGACTTTTGCGCTACGATCCATCGCACTTCGCTTACAAGCAAGTCTTCCCACCCACCGCAATCTTTTGCTCCTTCGCGAGCTCCACTGCCCACACAACGCCTGGGTGATGGCTTCGCAAATGCAACGTTTGTCTCTTTAATTGGGCCGTGCGGGCGTGAAAGGACATGTTTCAAGCCTCGAGAATGCATCCACCGTGGTGCCGCGTGCCAAATTCTTCCATTTATCTCGCCTCCAGCTAGAGGCGAGGGCGTTCGGCGCTTGTGATGAATGTGTATGTATGTAGGTTAAACCCCCAGCATAACACAGACTTCAATTTCTTGTTCTTTTTGCCTTCCGACTGCTGGTTAGGTCCTTCATCCCATATTGTTTTTGGCGGCGTTGGTCTAACGGACCAATAAAAAACAAAACAAAACAAAAAAGAAAAAACAATGTCTTCGAACCAGACTACACACCATGCCCGTCACTATTGCACCGAGATCACGCCCGACTGCCCCCTTGAGCTCACCACATACGGCTACTACCCTAACCTGAGCGTGAACTCATTCTTCATTGCTCTCTTCGGCCTCTGCATGATATTACAGTTGGCTCTCGGCATATGGAGGCGGACATGGACATACCTGATTGCTGTCACCATCGGCTGTTTCGGCGAGGCGGTTGGCTATGTTGGGCGGGTGATCATGCACCACAACCCTTGGAGCGGTGCGGGCTTTAAGACACAAATCTGCTGCTTGGTCCTTGCACCAAGTTTCCTCGCTGCGGGGATATATGTCACCTTGAAGCACTTGGTCATCTATTGTGGAGCGGAGAACTCGAGATTGAAGCCTAGGCTCTATCCCTGGATCTTCATCGGCTGCGATTTCGGCTCGATTGTGCTCCAGGCCATTGGGGGTGGTGTCGCAGCTAGTGCAGGCGACCATGACGTGAATCCCAAATTGTTGGATGCGGGTGATGGTTTGATTGTGGCCGGAATCGCGTTCCAGGTAGCAACCATGGGTGCTTGCGGGCTCCTCATGATTGACTACTATATCCGACTTCAACGCGCGAAGAAGGCCAAGTCACCAGCGGTGGTGGAGAGCGCGTACGAAAAACAGCTGTCCGTGGCCAATGTATCACGCAATTTTCGGATTTTCTGCTTTGCCATTGGGCTAGCCTTTACGACCATCTTCATCCGCTGCATCTACCGGTACGTGCCTTGAAACCCTGTCTTATCGAAATGACATACTGAGGGATGTTGATGATAGTCTGCCCGAGATGGCAGGAGGTTGGGGTGGTCGCATGATGCGCATTGAAACCGAATTCCTCATCCTTGATGGAATGTAAGTTTGGCTCCTGACCCCCAGGCACCACTGAAAACCACATTGACACGGGTTTGCTCCAGGATGGTGGGTATCGCATGTGTTCTCCTGACTGTTTGCCATCCGGGGTTCCTGTTCGAGCCGATGAGGAAATTCAAAAGAACGGGTCCTTCTATTGCAAACCCCATAGAGGAGCCCGAGACAGCGGAGGGCAAATCCTGAAGAGTGATGTTTATGGCATCCGGTTCAACATGTCATAGACATCGACGTAGACATAGAATGATAGAAGAGTGAATGACGCGATGGAACCAAGGCGAAGTGAAAAAATAGGAGCCTCATGCAGGCACCGGGCATTACTTTTTCGGCCGCAAAGGATGACGCTCGCCACATTATCCAGAGGTCTCGGCCTTATACTGATGCCGAGCTTATGTATAGCTCGCAGGCTGGAGCATGCGAATCTTATACCATCCAGGGTCTCCTGTTATAGCGCATCGCATTGCAGGGTGATGATGAGGCTGGCGCAGCGTCCGCGACTTTCCGAACACGAGGAAGAAAAGGCGTGCGCACGGGCGGTGCCAAGCTAAAACGCCAGCGGATACGAGAGGCTTTGTTTCTGCCAAAGACTAAAGAGGTCAGCTTCCTCTCTTTATTTCGCCTTCACACTTATAATTATGAGCCATTATCGATTCAGAGTGCAATCATCCAGCCGGCCGTTCTCACAATGCCCTCACGTCGGTCGCATACAAAATCTCACCACGGGTGTCGGCAGTGCAAAACCAGGAGAGTCAAGGTCAGTGTGTTTCCCGAATTGACCTTTGGCCGGGTCTTTGCCTTTCCCGAGGCTCCATAATTGGTGCAGTAGCGGTTGTAGTGGGAGAGTGGGAGTCGTGGCAGCAGGCTTTTCGCTTAGCCATCGCTGAGCCCGTCTTCGCAAGAGTGTTTCTGCTGTCTTCCGTCTGCCGTTGTTGGTCCTGACCAAGAGTGCCCAGTGTGACGAGACGAGCCCTCAGTGCCAGCGCTGTGTAAAGCGACAGATCCGCTGTTCATTCCTCGAGAATGGTTCGGAAGGGTTTCCGACTCCCCCAGGAAACACATCCAACTATGACACATCTACGCCCAGGAGCTTCGACCACCAGCATTCAGACGCCGAGAAAACTCGCCATGGAGCATTTTCCACACCCAAACCCTCGTCGCCGCTGGCAGCAGAGACAGACACTGCTCACGTCGACAAATGTTTTGACCGCCTGGACCTGGAGCTCATCCAGCATTATTCCACGCGGACATACATGACCATGTCCTCGAGACTCGCCACCCACGCTGTCTGGCGGGACACTGTATTTGCAGAGGCTTTGCGCCACGACTATCTTTTGCACGGGCTGATGGCCACCTCGGCACTGCATAAAGCGACTTTGCTGCTCAAGTCGCCCGATGCGTCAGCCGAGTATTCCAAGGTGGCGCTGGCTCACCAGAACACTGCTTTGGCTGGATTCATTCCGGCTGTCAGCAAACCCAATCAGGAAAACGGCATCGCTTTATTCTCCTTCTCCCTTCTTCTCACCATATGGGCATTTGCATCGAAAAAGCTCCCCGAGGGCCTGAATAGTGTGAAGCTTGACTTTGGCACGGGCGAATCATCCCCAGGTATCACTCTTCCACTGCACTCGCCGACCGCCGACTTCATTGAAATCATCATGATTCTTAGAGGAATATATGCGGTGATTAGGGAGACAGATAAGTGGCTTCAAGGCGATATTGAAGAACTATTGCGCTATCCGCGTTCAGAAGATTTGCCACCGCATTCGCCAGAGGTGGAGGAGGCCTTCGGCACACTTCGCAAAGCCATTGACGATCCTCAACTGTCGTCGCTATGGGAGGGGGAAGACTCCCAGCCAATGAGGAGTCTCTTCCTTGAGCAACTGGAGCAGTTGCGCGACATCTCTAGATGTCGGTCCGTTGTTGAGTGGGATGGCCACATCTTTTCCTGGCTGATCATGGCACCACCGACCTTCATCCATTGTCTTAAGCAGAGCAACCCGATGGCCTTGGCAATATTTGCTCACTGGGCTGCCATTTTCAGGTGTATGGATCATCACTGGTGGGCACATGGCTGGGGATATAGCTTGGTCGTTGATGTCTCCGGCCTGTTAGATCCTGTCTGGGCGAGATACTTGGATTGGCCTAGAAGACAAGTTGGTCTCGTTTTTCAAGGCGGTGGAGCTTTTGACGGCCGCCGGATGACTTGACGACCATTTTGAAAGGGGCTGTTCGTACGGAGTTATAAGTCGCTCAAACGATTCAGGAATTTCTAATTTCTGATGCCCATATCCGAAGTCCGGACAATGTTCAACTTGAAGGGCGCACCTCCTTTCCGGCGGGTACGACTCGAACGCTCTTGCGGCGACATTGATATGTCGAAAATTGGCTTCCGTGAGATGAATGGAGCAGAAGGAGCCTACTACGCGATGGGCTCATTTCCACTGTGGAAGCCCATATCTCCGTCATATCCCCCTCCTCTATCTAAGGCTTTTAGCTCGCCATTGTTATCCACGGCTCTGATATTATTACCCCAGAGTGCTGACGGTTCGACACAATGCCTGTCACTTTTCACTCGTTTACGTCGACCAGCAGTGCCCCCGGCAGCCTGCGAAGCCAGCAACTTTTGACCCCCCCCACGTCGCACAAGAGCGCCGCAGACATTCCCTTCAAAGCGGAAAAGGATGACAACATCAGTTTGAACATGAAACGGAGTCGGAATCATCGGCATGGATGGCAAGATACACGCTCTCGACGGACAACTACTGGTCACAAAAGGGGGGTCCGCGGGTGCAGAAACCAAGTATCTGGCACCCGCCATCACTCGCATAACCTACGAAAGACCCATTCTCTCCCATCAGTCCAACCCCAATTTGACCTTGGCACCGTCGAACTACTTCAGAGTCCCCAACGCAGAGCACGACGATGGACGGTCCCCTCCAAAGCGTCTTCGACCCAGGGGCTTGCTACTCTTGTGCCAGTCGATGACAGCGCAGGTACAACTGATCCATATTCGGCAACCGGATTCGATTCAAATCGAAGCCCAGCGATGATAACGCTTCGTCGTGCCACCACTACAAGGTCGCGAAGACGAACTTCGCTCACCTCTTTCCCGCCGCCCAAGTTCAGCCGGGATAGCAGCGGAATGCTCTCGATGTTTTTGAATTCGGTTACTCGATACGACGAAGCCGTAGTCCATGACAGTACAGAGGCAGATTGGACTCAGCGAGTCACGCAGAAGCAGCGGACGGCATCCACCGTAAGCAAAGACGACATCCGGCATTCGACCAGTGCCGCTGCTCCACCTGTCCAGACCGAAGTTGTCACGGTAGAACCACGGCTATCGTATTCCGGATCAAATCAGGCGGCCGAGTCCATCCGCCGGTGCTCCACCCTCTACGTATCGGACAGCACGGTGTATGAGATCATTTGGGATGAGAACTGCTCTTCGAGTAACTCTGAGGGAGAGGATCCTAGAATCCATGGCCAAGCATCGCTATTTCAGAGTCGGGATCTCATCGGGGCAGAGACGTTGGAGAGACGGCTGTCGAAGGCGCTTTCGCAGTCAAGACGAGATTCCCTGCAGGAAGGCAGCAGGAGAAAAACAAGCTATGTGCCAAGCAGTGAAATGTCTGTGCAAAGCATTTGGACCAATCCCAAGATTGCTCGGCTTTTCCGCGAACCCGCTTCGGGGAGCCTACCTCGTTCCAAGTCCTCCAAGAGCAACAAGATGATGGTCACTTCGTCAACAGACATGGACCTAGACCTGGCGCTCGCAGATGGCCATAAAAACGGAGCATCTTCTGACGGTGTCGAGTTCTTTCCTCCGCTACGGAGTCGGGCCAACACAAGCGGAAGCGGGAACTTGGAGTCTCCGTCGAGCACGAGTGGAACGGATAGTTGGAGCGCGGTTGAGCTACTAAGGCCGGTCGGCCGTGATCCGCTTGAACAAGGCTCAGGATCAGATATAGCAAGGAGTCGTTATGGAGTTATGATCGGGATCAGTTCGCACATGAAGCGAAGGAGTGTATCTGCTGAGGGGCAGCTTCAGAATCAATGGGCGAGGAGTATAAAGTCTCGTAGCAGGAGATCAAGTGAAGGGAAAGCATCGGATGACGAGACGATTCCTCTTCTGGGGATGACTTGATACGACCAGCGGACGAGTTGTTGTGGGACGTAACAGATGAGGTTACTCTCAGTGGCGCAGTCTCCCAACTGACTACCTATCAGGACGGAATAACACCGTAGTGGCTTTAGCCTCATGTACCAGCAGAAGAGGAAGAATTTCCAGACACGACAAGCCGTTGTTACCAAAGTGCGGTGGAAGGTGAACGCGGTTCGGGTTCCATCCATTTTGTACCCCAGGATTCGACATTGGCTCCCCCTTGCCCCCTCCCTCCGACCCGCATTCGGATCACATAACGTAGTGACCCGAGGCCCGAAGCGAGATGGATGAGGGAGGTCGGTGCATCTTGATAGAGTTTTGTTCGAGTACGCAAGCCCACTAGATTGCATGATGGTATCGTGCAATCCAAGTTGAAGGTACCAGGTAACCCAACACGACAGGTATCATCGAGTAGCCAGGGAAGATAAGTTGATAAGCGCGTTTTGGGAGCCTTTGAGCGGACACCCTGCCTTGGACCAACTCCCACATGGCTACCCTCCCAAGTATCTCAACCGACGTCGGTAACCACCCCAAGGAACAAAGGTAAGACAATCTAACCATCGTCGTTGGTGCCCACTGTAGCAACGGAGCAGGACCCTCGCGTGCACAAGAGCGGAGCTTTTGACAAAAAGAGGGCAAATACGTGTGTGTCAGAGAATTGAAAGAAGGAAAACATCGATTCCGAGCCCTACCGCCGCAAGCTTTAGCCGGGCTAGAGATCCTTCTTTCTCATCGGTCATCAACCATCAGCAATCAGCCATGCGCCATTTGGATTCCGATAGACTGGGGGCGCTTCGAACGAACCGAGCCCGATGCGGAATCTGGATACGAAAATAACTACTGCGAGCAGCCCTCCGATGGGAAGGTACCGGGGGGAGGGCCACGAGCGCTGGACTTGGACCAGTCGGAAGGGCATGTGGTTGCGCAAACAGGGTGCAAGTAGAGGATGGTGAAGGATAAGGAATCAATCGCCCCTGTGGTGCCTGGGGTGAGCTAGGCATTCGTAATGATGGGGGTGTTTGGTCGGTCGGCAGAGTGCGGCGTTGAATAGTGCGGGCTGAACAGGTACGAGAAAAAAGAGACAGCCGCCCAGACACACCACAGCGACAGACCTGACGCTGCCAATTGGGCAACTTCACAAGCGATCATCAACACCATAATAATAATACCGAATCTACGACCCAACACCGCTTGACCACGACCTCTCCTTTCTATCCGTGATCGGTCAGCCGCAATAATTGCGGCCGCAATCAAAACTGGATGTTACCCAGCTAGGCAGGTATTCAGTCCTCCACTCGCCTCTTTGCCATCCGGGAGCCGAGCTTTATCAGAGCAGGCCCGTGTACTGTAAATACACCACAAACACCGTCTCTCTGGGGTAGGGTGGGTGCTTTATACAAGGACCTATGTACAATAGTGGCAGTGGTGTGCACATCATCATAATAATCCCGAGTACGCCCCGAGGAGGCCGCACAGAGTGGCTCTTGGTGGCTGCGAACCCCAGTCGTTTAGGTAGCAAAGCCCTGTCTGGGCCTCCTGGGGAGGGTTTCCCTCCCGAGCCTGTGGTGCCTGCGAAATTCCTTATCCCGTCAGCCAACGTTAACCCCGGCTAAAAAGTGGCCTTGGAGTGCCTGGACTGGCTGTGTTGGCAACATCTCAACCTCTAGTGGCCCATTGCTGGGCCCAAGGTCTGCCGATAGGCTTCCTCACTCAGCCCAGCACATCACAGCAAGAGAACGGCACTACCATCGCTGCTACTGCTGCTGCCGCTGCCGCCTTTCCCCATCCTCCCATTCAACCCATCTCCAAACCCTGTCGGAACCACACACCCTTTCTCTTCCTCGCTCTAGTTCTCCCATGGTCCTTCTCTGAACGAAACCCTTCCTCCTCTTGTATACAACAATTGTCAATCGCCAGCCTTTTCAGCCGACTAAGATTTATGTGCTCACGCCTCATCTGCCTTTCGCCTCCTGTTCGACGTCCGCCGTGTCCCTCCGTCTCAGCCGTCGAGTCTCCGCGGCATTAACTGAACCTGCGTCAATCAACCTCCTTCCCCACGAACCTACGCCGCCGTCGACGTCTTTGTTCGAGAAAGACTCATATATTCTTGGGCCCGTCCTCCATTGAGGTCGTTTGGGCTCCAGGTATTGAACATTTGGCCTGTCAAGATGACTTGGTCATGACATCTATCCCTCCGGCCGAACCGCGGCCTGCTCCATTGCGACGCCCGACCGACTCGAGACGACCTTCCCTTGGGAGAGCATCCAGTCATGGATTCTCGCCCGTTGATAGAAGGCCGCCGATGTTGCGCCGAGAGACAGTAGCGACCGGGGAGGACAGACCAACCAAAAGACGGAAGATCGAAGCTGACACCAAGTCGGATCAAACTGTCAACTACCGCAATCCCTCGCTCCCTGCCAGAGCTCCCGATTCACATGAAGATAACAAGGCCGTTCACTGGCGCTGGGTCAAGCCCTCGGCACTTCGGGCGGCGATTGCTAACTCACAAAGCAAGGAAGAGGAGGGAAATTCGAGCGATGATGATGTGCCCGATCTCCCACCCCGGCCTTGGAGAATCACTGGCGCCGCCAAAGCTGCAGACAAGCCCAAACCGACACATCGATCACGGGTCGACATCCCGGTGCCCAATACTCCCGATTCGATACAAGTGCCATCTTCAGCACCACAATTTGTTCCCAAAAGACCGGTCGGGTTCTTCCCGTGGACCGGAAAGCATCCAGAGGACGTCTTAAATGACAGCAACGTGAAGAATGGCTATTTTGACAAACCCCCGAACCCCACTGAAAAGGAGCTCAACACGGCGCGAATCCCGCTCTACAATGCCTTCAAACACAAGTCCGGTGTCGACAGTCTGTCCGCTCTCTTTTCCCTTGTCCTGAATCAGAAGAGCCAGTATGGCTTAATCAGTTCTGCTTCCACATTCAAACCACCCCCCCGCGTCACCTTGACTGAAGCGAAACGGAAATCCTGGATAGCGGATCTGGCCAATGCAGACGTGCCATTGAGGAGGCTGAGCAGGACGATCCCTCAGGGCATAAAGGGCCAGACTCTTTTAGATCAATGCTTGCAAAGCTCGGTTCCGTTGAGTCGTGCGATATGGTTCGCTAAGTGCGTTTGTGCAAATGAGATTCGGACCTTGAAAAGGAAAGGAACTGCCCCGGCGGTGGCCATGGGCACCGAAATCAAATGGTTTCGCGAATGGACAGTCAACGTCGAAGAATTTTTGGAAACACGTCTAGAACAAAGCAATCCATCTGATTGGAGATCAGACATTCAATACGCATTGCGGCTTGTTACCTGGCTCTATTTAGAGAACCTGCTGGATCGGGGCCATTACTTGGATTGGATTTTGCGTTCTTTCACTGCGGCAGACGTCGGCCACACTCCTTTCTGGCTGATGGTCATCCACATATACAAGCAAGATTTGAGTCACTATCGAAGACGAGGCACCAGACTGGCTGAAGCACTGATTAACAAGTACCGCTCAGTGGACAAGCTCTCCGACCAAACGATAGCTCCACTGAGACAGAGGCTGCGTGCCGCAATCCGGGAATTATTGTTTGCACGCCCTGCTATCTTCCTGATGCCAGACAGTTGGCCCGAGAGTTTGCCCGTTGTTCGAAGTTGCCTGGACACGACCATTGGACCCGAAGCTCGGATTCTTGAGGAACTCAGCCGCGTCAATGAGAGAACCATGGGATTTAACAAAGCGGAATTCTTGTCTGTTCGCGCACCTGACGAGGCTATTGTTGAAACTCTAGACGCCGCCGCAGTGCCATATAATTTCACTCTGCTGGACGAAGGACTCGCGAGCGCCTGTTTAGACTTTGACCTCCTGGTGCGATCATGTCTTGAATGGTCATGTACGCGATTTCGACAATCCAGAACTCGAATATATATCGTCACCCGTCTAGTTAAGCGCTGGCAACGGGGGGGCCACGACGTTGACACCGCTATTCTCAATTTCCTGTCAGCCTTCCGGGAGGGGAAGACAACTGCTGACCTTCAGTGTCTAAGACACCTAATTGCGCAACTCTCTCGATCTGATTGCTTCCCGCTGAGCAAATACATGCAGTGGCTTATGGTGAGGGGTCTTCCAGAGAAGGGAACAGTCTGCATCAATGAGGATTCTATCTTCGGGCCAAGTCCAGGAGTTGAATCGCGGCGGGAGCCAGGATCCATCCAATTCCTGCTTGATTTGTCGTTGCAACGGGCAGAAGACCATGTCATCAATTTACGGAATTCGGTTCTTGAACGTGCAGGGTTCGATTTCAACTCGGAAGAGGCCATTTTCGGACACTGTGTACGTTTTCTCGAGCAAAAATTAGCAGAGTCAAGTTCCATCACCAAGCCTAGGCCACCAACCCTTGTTGAGCCCTCTTTCGCGTCTCTGCCGTGGACTCTTCGGACCAGAATATCTATGTGGCTACGAACAAGAGCTCTCGAAGGCGCCAAATCGGCACAAAGCACTCCCGTGTTGCCTGGATCCAAGGTATTGAATGAAGAACAATTCTTCTTGATCCGTCACGTTCTTGAGAGCATGGAAGATGAAGCAGTACTTGCCGATGTGGTTGGCATTCTGTCGGTATCACAAAGAGATGACCTCGTGGCGTCTCTTGTCGCTACCATTCATTTTCATGCCGGTGCATTTTCCGCAATTGGGGCATTGGAAGTCCTTCAAAAGCGGATGTGTCAAGTTTACATGAGTTGGCGACCTACTAAACCGACGATGCCGCTCCTTACTTCGACCCTACTCGACCTCTGCACTGCTTTCCCGGCCAAGTCGCCAGCAATCAGGTTGCTACAACAGGATCTCGTTCGAGGAGATCGGGGGCGTGCAGTTGCGGCTTGCTCGCCGTATAGTGACGGCATTGCCGAGTCATTACAGCAGGCGGGTGCTACCTTTGTGGAAGATTTTGAAGCCATTCTGCAGTCGGAAACCAATATGAATGAGCAAACTA